AAAAAAAAAAAAAACAATTTCCGAGAATGCTCTTAACATCCTTGCGACAGAAGCATAGTAGTTGTTAGAACGATACTTTCCCAACAAGCCTTCTATTACTTCTTTGATTGCATGTCATGCATTCAATTCAGCGTCAATCAAAATATTGTTGAATGCGTCACTTTTAAACAGCTTTCGTATATCTGTTTAGTACGCCTAATTGGAAAAAATTAATTTGTTAAGATGGAAAACCATGGGAAATAAGGAAAAAAATTAAAAGGTCATAAAAAACTGACACATAAGAACGCCAAACCCTTTAAGGGTTTTACTATACTGACCTAGTACCATCACCCTGACTTGGAATTTGTCAGCCCCCAGATTAGCTGTTGTATTGTGTTATAAGCCGAAAATACATAWGTATATTTATTTCTCTTCATATTAACATTTMACAGCGTGAATTCTGTAGTTGTGAGGTGAAATTTCGTACTACAATTTAATAAAATGTTAGACATCGAACCTGCACCTTATCTATGTTTATCCATCTATGGTTCATATATCGTTGATCGACTTCTCTAACAAGGTCAATTCGCTTCAACTTTCCAGACATTTCTCGGAGACTTCTTTGATGGTCTGATAGCATCAAAGGATTTAAAAATAATTTTGAATAGTTGGGACCAGCGCACTACATCGAGTAATACATATCTGATAGTTTAATTCATGTGTTCGTCTTTAAATTAGTGACAAAGATCAAGTCTTATTCAGTTGAAGTGGGGCAAGTGTTTCTTTCACAAGAGTTAATTGAGTTCCTTATTTTCTATCAAAATTGATACCTTTCTTCCATCACTTTGAAATTCTTGTTGAACCTCTCTTTCCTTCAGTATAACTTCTAAAATTCCGGAGCAATTAAAACCTTGATATATTCTATATCTTTCATTAATTTCCCTATTTGAGAACCATATAAGAGTTCACCTTTCAACCATATATTTAAAATATTTTACAAATGCCACTAAAACAATATCCTTCCGCGTTCACGCTTTGCAAAAATGTTTTATCATTCCGAACWTCATCACACATTAAAACAGTGAGTTCATTCATTTTGAGAAGATATTGGTGTAGATTTGGGCTCTTAAAATTATTCGAACCTGAAAACCGATTATTCAAATACCCGGGTTGGAACGGTTCGTATGAATATTAACCGGTTAATACTGTTTGAATAGTCTTACCATTGCGACTATTCGAAAAGTCCTACTTCCGGGTGTATTCGAATAGTTGCTCTACTGCGAATATTTGAAAAAAAAAAAAMAATTGTTAGAAATTCAAACAGCCTTTGATTTTTGCTTGTTTACAAATTTATTCTGTAAGACTTCTATAAGCTTATATACAGTAAAAAAATTGTAAAAGTTAAACGCGTACTATTCGAAATCCGTTTAGTCGAATACCGAGAGCTCTAGTGCAGGTGTTTCACCGTCTTATTCACATCCATCGACAGACTGATTCGATATCTGAGTATTTGGCGACATTATTGTTTCTGAGTAGTTTATGCGAATTACTTTTGAAACGATATTTCCATTTAGTAAAACAGGACAATTTGTAGACTGCCAAATATATGTCTTTTAACCTTAAAACCCTCCGAACATTTTTGCATATTTTCATTACGGAAGCCGAGAATAAGCATCACGTTACGTTTGCATGCGTGAAAAAGGTACCCAGAACCCTAACCATGACTGAAAAACAAAATTTTTATTACCAATAACTCAATATTTATCAAAATATCTGTATAGCCGCGTAATCAGAGATAGATACCAGACTGAACAATGACAAGACGTTCAGAAAGAGCACAACCACGGACTACATCACGAATATTAGCTAATTATTAGTGAAAAAAGAAAATGGTTCATTTAATTTTTTTTATAAAAGCTTCCGTTGATTGTTCATATTATATCAAATCAGTTAACTCAAGTCAGTACTCAACGCAATCAACAATGTTTGAGTATTTGATATGACTCAATCAYACTCGCTGTAGCTGTAGTTTAGGACCATACTCTAAATAATTGCAATAAATAAAATGGTTTCGAAATCAATCAAATATCCATAAGAACTTGAAACAAAAATAATTCTACTATCCATGGTATATGCAGCGCTATTTGYTGATTTATCTTTATAGCAGATCATCGATGCATATCAATGATGATTGTTTTTGAATCAGAGAGAGGCAATCAATTATTCACTAGGAGTTATAAATACTTAAACTAAAAATTTTAACAAACGAAATAATCCCAAATAATAACGGTCTGTTAGCTGCATTCGCACAGCTTCTATATGATATCAAGCATCAGTCTACATCAATTGATAAATTTTTGTTACTACTTATTAATTTTTCAAGTTTTCCTTTAAATTTTTTTTTATTTAATTGATTAACATTTAAAGTAAAAAGGTTGTAACAAACCCTATTAACTCAATCATTTACATTTTTTGGAGTCACTTACACTTCAAATGTAATTAAATATTTATTTTGTGTATCACTCACCACACCATTAACAGATAAAAGTTGATCTCCTCTTTTTAGTCCTCCATGACGGTCAGCTACACCTCCGGGTATAATACGAGAAATGTATATGGGTGAGTTCTGTTCTTTCCCTCCCATAACATTAAAGCCAAGCCCTTAATGAAAAAATTAAGCAATAACAACAGAAATATATAAGTCTATAATATTAAACTATTTGATTTATTTATTTATTTTTTGTAAAATATTAATAAAATTATTATTATACAGATTAAAACTAACTGAGGCTTTGAGCTCACGGCTTAATTAGGGTCGGCTTTAGAATACCGTCCCAGGGTTTTGGCAATAACAGGTGTATGGTCGAATAGAGGAGATTCTCCAGATCAAAAATATATTTATTAAAAATATATATATCATTAAGYATATATAGCCGCAGAAAGCTTATAGTTTTCGAGATATTCGCGTTTAAAGTTGAAAATTACCACTATTTGAAGTACGTATTTTCTCGATATAAAATTAATTTTGTACTTATATTTTGCACTTTTATACCCACTAACAAATCATTAATTCGATTGTACACATTTATTATACTCTCGCAACAAAGTTGCTAAGGAGAGTATTATAGTTTTGTTCACATAACGGTTGTTTGTAAGTCCTAAAACTAAAAGAGTCAGATATAGGGTTATATATACCAAAGT